GTACAGATCTACAGAGAAACCAATATAGGCTGTAGTCATATAGAAAGCTCTGGAGTAGATGTCTAAAAGAAGATTAAATTGATAAAATATTATTGCTAGAATACCAATGTTTTTGCATGTATCAAGAGCAGATTCCTATAACTAGAAGAAGTTTGGGGTTACATTAATAAATTAAAAACAAGATAATCACACAATAGATAAAATGTAAAAGAAAGGAAAAGTGCTCATAGTATAATACTAACTATGATAAGAATAGCATTTATTTAGTTTTAGTTTTTATTAAGTCTTTAATTTTAATTCCAGTATAGCTAACATACAGTGTTCTATTAGTTTCAGGTGTACAGTGCCGGGAGCCACACCGGCCTCTCTGGATGGCAATCACAGCAAGGAAATGGCGATGTTTGCACAGCTCCTGCCATAAGAAACGAAAACTGGTATCTCTTTCTGCTACTACTGGCTCATGTTGGAAATGAGCCTACTGGTATGGACCAGGCCTCACAATATTCCATATCAGACCCATATTCTGAACACAGATACCTCATAACAAAAGAACATATTCCTGCCTTTACAAAAGAGATTTTAGATGAAAGCTCTGTGGGTGTTTGTCAAAAGGCTCTTCCTATGGGCCTTGTAGATCCGAGACTTAGGGGGTTAAAAACACAAGAATTACAATTGAGCCTGGACCTGAGACAAAGGGCTTATTTTGGGGTTAAGAGCAACACATAGTTACTACATATATCTTTGCTAATTGGTGAAGCATAACAGTCCCTTCCTCAAGGCCTACATTCCACAAACACCCTCTCTTACACTGGCAGCTGGGATGAGGATAGATAAGAGTAGCTAAAACATAAACCCAGGGGCAAAAGACTGACCCATTCAGGGCCCCCATGATAGTTTCTACAAAAAACCAATTCAAAAACATTCATCCTCTTGAGAGCCAGACAAAATACTCCTAGCTTATCTATATACAATTTGACCTATATGTTATCCTGTTTTTCACTAAGAACATTCTGTTATTTCCTTGTTCTGAATAATTCTTCTATTGATATCACAAAAGGCCTCCCATTGTAAGAAATTATTTTCTCTGACTTCATCTTGTTGCTGAACCTTTAAATAAAGACACAAAAACCGACAGGACAGAGATGCCTGCCTGGTGATCAGAAAGAATCTCTGGGGCTCTCTCACTCTCTCTCTCGCCGACACCCACCATCCATCCTTCAGGGACCCCTGGACCTGCCGGAGTTGGCTCGGCCTCCAGCAGTACAGTATAGTGACTCAACAGTTCTACACATTATTCAGTGCTCATCAGGATGAGAGTGTGAAAACAGCATTTACATAGTCATAATAAAGCAAATGCTGTATGTTGCTCTTTTGAAATTCTATTTCAATATATAAGAAAGATAAGGAGGGGCGCCTGGGTGGCTTAGTCGGTTAAGCGTCCGACTTTCGCTTAGGTCACGATCTCGCAGTTCGTGGGTTCGAGCCCCGCGTCGGGCTCTGTGCTGACTGCCAGCTCAGAGCCTGGAGCCTGTTTCAGTCTGTGACTCTCTCTCTCTCTGACCCTCCCCTGCTCACGCTGTCTCTCTCTCTCTCTCTCCTAGAAATAAATAAAACATTTAAAAGAAAAAAAAAGAAAGATAAGGAAATGGGAAGGGTACTTGTGACATGGTATGGAACAGCAAAAGAGTTAAATCCTCATCTTCCATGAAAGGAAGACAATAGATAATGCCTGAATTTGGAAAATAAGAAATAGCAATGCAGGGGAACCCAGGTGGCTCAGTCGGTTAAGCATCTGACTCTTGGTTTCACTTCAGGTCATAATCTCATGAGTGTGTGAGTTTGAGCCCCACACTGGGCTCTGTGCTGACTGCATGGAACCTACTTGGGATTCTCTCTCTCCCTTTTTCTCTGCCTTTATCCCCTCCACCCCCCAACCTATACACACACACTGTCTCTGCCTCTCTCAAAAATAAATAAACTTAAAAAAAAAAAGGTATCAATGCTTGTTATTTTAGAGACCAGGCGGTAAATTCCAAAAGAATTACCCAAGAAGGTGAAAACTGGTTGCCTCTTGGGAACATATATCAAAAAACAAGTAAATAAGTAACAAAGGTATTAGGCTTTTCAATAGAAACATCCTTGTTGGGAAACTGTTACTTAGTGTATAGACTTTGTGAATAACCTTGAAGGAAAAACTGTTTCCCACCTAAAACAATCTGAGAACAGAAAATGGAACGGACCACTGTTTGAAATATTAAAATTTGTAGCCTTATTTGATTGTTTAAATTACATGAACGTGTAGCTTTCAGAAAACTAATTATAAAATACTTTATGTAATTCTATTTGAGTTACTATATTAAAAATAGAATGACTTATGGGGCACCTGGGTGACTCAGTCGGTTGAACATCTGACTCTTAATATTGGCTCAGGTCGTGATCCCAAGGTTGTGGGATTGAGCCGTGTAGTGGGCTCTGCACTGAGTGTGGAGCCTGCTTGGGATTATCTCTCTCTTCTTCTGCCCCTCTCCCCGGCTTACATGCTCTCTCTCTCTAAAATAAAATAAAAAAAAAAAAAAGAAAATGACTCATGATGACTGAATTAGCTGGTTAATTATTATTCTTATATAGAAACAAAATTTTTCTACTTGATAAAGTAACTAGCAAGTGATTAAGCTAAAGGTTATGAAAATGTTTACTAGTGTATGAATTCAATAAATTCCTTTGAGGGGCCCCTGGCTCACTCAGTCAGAAGAGAATGCAATACTTGACCTTGGGGTTGTGAGTTTGAGCCCTACCTAGGGTAGAGAGGTTACTAAAAATAAATAAATAAAATTAAACTTTAAGATTTATAAATTTAAGTGTTTTTAATTTTTTTTTTTAGAGAGAGAGAGAGAGGAAATGAATGCAAGTGGAGGAGGGGCAGAGATGGGGACAGAGGATCTGAAGCAGGCTCTGTGCGGTCAGCTCGAAGTCCAGAACTGTGAGATCATGACCTAAGCCAAAGTTGGACACTTAACTGACTGAACCATTCAGGCGTCCCTACAATAAAAAATATTCTTTTTTAAAAACATGTTTTATATTTATTTCTGAGAGAGAGAGAGACAGCATGAGCAGGGGAGGGTCAGAGAGAGAGGGAGACACAGAATCTGAAACAGGCTCCAGGCTCTGAGCTAGCTGTCAGCACAGAGCCCAACGTGGGGCTCGAACCCACAAACTGTGAGATCATGACCTGAGCCGAAGTTGGATGCTCAACCGATTGAGCCACCCAGGTGCCCCAACAAAAAATATTCTTAAAAATTCCTTTGGCCCACATAAAGAAAAGAATGTGACATTCATGAAGTGGTGTAACTTAAAAGCTTTTAAAATAGCTGTTTTGTAGTTTAACATTAATTTGGTTTTTCTTTTTTAACATGGCTATATTATGAGAAGAAACTTCTGTCAAGCCTGAAAAAAGGGAATGAATTCTTTTGCCTGAGGGTCCTGTCCTTCCCTGTGCTGAAGCCACAGAAGTGGCTGGACTTTAGTGGAAGCCAAGAAGAATTGAGAAGATCTGACTAACCAAAGGTAGCTTCTCCACCTGGCTGTTAAAATGTTAGAAAATTCCCCCTATTAGTTACTCTTTTATATGTGAACAGCAGGTTGAAACAGGCTTTAACTGGAGCAAATTTATTAAGTCATCACTTACTAATAATTTAGACAGTTTATCAGATTTAGTCTCTTAACAAAATCCTGGTGTTACAGGACCAGAAATAGTAAGCATTGAAGAGGAGAGAACAAAGAATTGTCTGAATCAGCACTGTCCAACAGAAATGTAATACAAGCCACATATGTTAACTGAAATTTTCTGGTAACCAACATATATAACCCAAATAAATAAACTTAAAACAAAAAACAATGTGGAATTTTTAATATATTTTCTTTAACCCAATATATCTAAAATATTATCATTTCAACATAGAATCAATGAAGAAAATTACTAAGGAGATATTTTACATTCTTTTGTATTAAGTCTTTCAAATCCAGTATGTACTTACAGCACATCTCAATTTGGACTAGACTCATTTGAAGTTCTTAATAATCAAATGTGGCTAGTGGATAATGTATTGGACAGAGTGGGTTTAAATCAGAGTTTCTCAAAATGTGCTCCCTGGACCAGCAGTATTGAAAAGGAATAGAAGCAGAGAAATATTCACCTTTCGCGCAGAAGGCTGACCTATAGCCTGCATAGTTTCGATAAGAATCAAATACATGCTGGTTGCTACATTCTTAAAGGGTCTCATGATGGCCTATATATATCTCACCAACAGCTAATATTGAACTGAATGATAAGCACCAGAGAAATCTTGTGAAAGTAGCTTTATGAGTAGAAATTTGAAGAAACATATATGATCTAATACTCCCTGCACAAATCCCTCCCCCTTGAGCACCAAGCATATAACCACCAGCCTCATACAGCAATAGTGGCATTTTCTGTCCATGGGTCCTGTCCTCCTGCTATTTAAAACAACTTAATCAGTTGCACCCTAAAACATCTCAAGAATTCTTTCTTGACTGTCCTGCAACAGTATCAGCATCACTTTAAAAATTGTTAGAAATACAAATTTTCAATCCCTATCCTTGACCTACTGAATCGGAAACTCTGGCAGTGGGGCCCAGCAATCTGCATTTTAATAAGTCTTTTGGTGGGACACTTGGGTTGTTCAGTCAGTTACACATCCGACTCTTGATTTCAGCTCAGGTCATGATCTCATAGTTCTTGGTTTCAAGCCCCGTGTTGGGCTCTGCACTGATAATGTGGAGCCTGCTCGGGGTTCTCTCTCCCTCTCTCTCTGTCCCTCCCTTGCTTGCATACACACATGTACTCTCTCTCTCTCCAAAATAAATAAATAAACTTAGAAGAAAAAACAAAAACAAGTCCTACAGTCATTCTATCACACGTTAAATTTGAGAACCACCACTCTAAATCATGGAGGCTCTTTGGTCCTGGCAGTGGAAACAAGATGACAAAGGTGACGTCATCATTTGGAAAGCATCACGGTAAGACCCACACATTGTGCCCCTGCTCTGGCTCCAAGGCCGACCACCTTCAGAAGTTGACCTGTGGCAGGTGTCTAGGTGGCTCAATTGGTTAAGTGTTTGACTTCAGCTCAGGACATGATCTCGTTGTTTGTGGATTCAAACCCTGCATTGAGTTCTCTGCTATCAGCACAGATCTTCAGATACTCTATCTCCCTCTCATCGCCCCTCCCCTACTCGCACTCTTTCTCCCAAAAATAAATAAATGTTAAAAAAAATTGACCTTTGGCAAATGTTGCTATCCTGCCAAGCAGAAGAGAAAGTATAACTGGAGTGCCAAGGCTGAAAGACAAAATACCACTGGGATCAGTCAAATGAGGCACCTAAAAATTGTTTACTGCAGATTCAGGTATGGATTCCTGAGCCCATGAACAACACCTAAACCCAAGGGGCCAGCCGTTGCAGCATCCAGTTCATCTTAAGGGTTTCAACATTTAATCACACAATAAATGTCCTGGTTTAAATAAACAACCAAACACATAAATAAATCATGGGAAACTGGTAGGAGAATCATTTTTTACTTTACTTTAAAATCATGAGGAGCTGGTAGGAGAAATGTTTTTCTTAATATATTCAACATGGGGGGTGCCTGGATTGCTCAATTGGTTAAGTGTCTAACTTCACCTTAGGTCACAATCTCATGGTTTGTGAGTTCCAGCCCCATGTTGGGCTCTGTGCGGACAGCTCAGAGCCTAGAGCCTGCTTTGAATTCTATGTCTCCCTCTCTCTCTGCCCCTCTCCCACTCACACTCTCTCTTTCAAAAAATAAACATTAAACATTTTTAATATATTCAGCATGATTCAAAATATTTTTTAAGTATAAAAGCATAAACAGTGAAAAGTTTCCTTTCCTGTCCTAGCCCAAACCATCCGTTTCCCCTCCCCAGAAGCAGTCAAAATGGTACATTCGTAGGCAGCCTCCAAGATGGCCTCCACTGATCCCTGTTTCCTAGTATTTACTCCTCTGATATTGCGATGTAATAAGAAGCATACGCTTCCATCTTTATCCCCAACCCCTGGCCAGAGCTCTTTAAACCTTTGTACTTTTCTAAGTGATAAGGATGCTTTGTTTGAATATCTGGTCTTTGACTCTGATTCTTGACAGAGCTCCTAAATTTCTTGGAATTTCCTGGGTGGTAGAAGCATCTTTTGTTCTAACGAGTTGATTCAGCATGCTCCTGGATAGCTCCAGAATGGGGGCTGGTCACCATAAAGACTGAGTCATGATTAGGAGGTTTTTAGCCCTACACCCTACCCAAGGAAAGGACTTAATAATCAATCATAGTCACATTATGAAGCTTCCATTAAAATTCCTGAACTACAGGGTTCAGGGAGCTTCCAAGTTGCTAAACAAATCCACGTACTGGAAACATGGCACACCCAAACTCCAGAGGTCCTGCATGGGAACCCTTTCTAACCTCTTCCAATGTATCCCTCTGTCTGGCTGTCATCTATATCCTTTATTACATAATAAAATGGTAAGCATAAGTATTTCCCTAAGTTCTGTGACCTATTCTAGCAAATTATCAAACCTGAGGATGGGGTCATGAGAACCTCAATTTATAGATTCAGTGATCAGAAGTATGAGTGGCAGCTTAGGACTTGTGGTTGATGTCTCAAGTCTTGAAGATGGTCTTGTAGGACTGAGCCCCTAATGTATGGGATCTGATGCTAACTCCAGGTAGATGGTGTCAAAACTGAATTGAATTGTAGGACACCCAACTGAATTGTTGGAGTATTAGTCAGTATGTGGGAAACACACACACACAAACACACACACATTTGGTGACCAGAAGTAGAGTAGGAAAACAGGGTATTTTCTCTAAACAACTCCCTTGTGGAGTCCCCTCTCACAGTGTACAGGGCTGGTCTGTGTGGCTAGTAGTATACCGCAGAGGTGATGGTATGTCCTTTCGGAGGATAGGGTAAAATAAGATATTATGGCTTTTGCCTAGCATTCTTTGGATCACTTACTGGGAGTGGGGTGAGGAGCAGGTGCTGTGTTGTGAAGATACTCAAGCAGCCCTAAACACGGTCCATGTAGTGAGGATCTGAGGTCCCCACCCAACAAAAAGAAACTGAGGTTTTCTGTTAACAGCCATGTGAGGGAAACATCCTGGAAGCCCAGAAAGTCTGCAATGACTGCAGCCCCAAATGTCACCTGAATTGCACTCTGATGACACACCCTAAGTCAAACCCACCCAGCCAAGCCCCTTCTGTAATTCTTGGCCCACAGAAACTGTAAATAAGAAATGCTTGTTATTTTAAGCCACCAAATTTTGAGCTCATAGTCTATGCAGAATATTATAGATATATATATTAGATAGATAGACAGATATATAGATAATATACTGTGTCCAGGATAATATTGAGAGAGTTAACTCAAAGTTTATACACATAGGAACGCTGGGCCAAATGAATCTAAACTGATGTCCTAAGAATATGTTACTCATATTAGCTTTTGTAAAACAAAACAAAACATGACAATTCTTTCCTAAAGTTTTAAAAATTATAAATATAATGTGTCTTTGTTACACACACACGAACACACACACACACAGAGTACAGAATTATATGAAGTAAATAGGACACCTCATTCTCTGAAACTGCCCTGATTCCATCAATTCCTATTAATTCTTCAACTTTTTCTTTCTTTTCATGAAATACAAGATATTTTTAGCACATTCTAATTTTTCCCCAAACCACCCAGAGTCTGTTTCTTTTTCCTTTTTTTAAAAAATCTTATTTATTTATTTATTTGAGAGGGGGGAAGGGACAGAGAGAGGGAGAGAGAGAGAATCCCAAGCAAGCTCTGCACTGTCAGCTTGGAGCCCGATGCGGGATTTGAACCCACAAACTGTTGACATCATGACCTGAGCTGAAACCAAGAGTTGGACCCTTAACCGGCTGAACCATCCAAGCAGCCCAGAGTCTGTTTCTATTGGATGCTATGAGAAGAATATTGATAGTATAAAATGGAGGTACCATATTTAACCTGTCTTGTCCTTGGACATTTAAATTATTTCAAGGTTTATTTTTATTTTTTGTTGTTGTTTAATTTGAGAGAGAGAGAGTGCTCTCAAGAAGGGAAAGGGGCAGAGGGAAAGAAAGAGAGAATCTTAAGCAGGCTCCATGCTCAGCACAGAGCCAGACTTGGGGCTTGATACCATGACCCTGGAATGACCTAAGCCGGTATCAAAAGTCAGATGCTCAACTAACTGAACCACCCAGGCCCCCCTCAAGTTTTTAATATTATTAATAAACAATAAACATTCCTTATGTCTTTACATACCTGTACACTATCTTTAAAATAAATTCCTAGAAATGAAAATGCTAAGTGAAACAGTATATACATTTAAACATTTGATAAATATTGCCAGATATCTTCAAAAAATGTCATACCACTTTATACCTCCATGAGCTGTATTGTTGGAGATTTTGGATTCTCCTTTTCCCATCTCTACCTGAATTCTGATTAATGAATATTACAAAAAAAAAAGTTGGTCAAATGGTAATTGAAGTGCAATTCCATTAATATGGACAAGATCATACTACCTCAATGAAAATAAAAATATCATGTAAAAACAGAAATTAACAAATTATAGCAAGATTCAATGTGACTAGGGGTGCCTGGGTGGCTCAGTCGGTTAAGCGTCCGACTTCGGCTCAGGTCATGATCTCACAGATTGTGAGTTCAAGCCCCGCGTCGGGCTCTGTGCTGACTGCCAGCTCAGAGCCTGGAGACTGTTTCAGATTCTGTATCTCCCTCTCTCTCTGACCCTCCCCTGCTCACACTGTCTCTCAATCTCTCTCTCTCTCTTTGTCTCTCTCTCTCTCTCTCTCTCTAAGGAAAAAAAAGAAAAAAAAACAAGATTCAATGCGACTGTATCTTACAAATAATGATGACTAAAGAAACCAGACATGAAAGAAAATATTCTGTATGGTTACACTTACATAAAGTTTCAAATAAGGAAAACTAGGGGCGCCAGGGTGGCTCTGTCGGTTAAGCGTCTGACTTCGGCTCAGGTCATGATCACATGGTTTGTGGGTTCGAGCCCCGCGTCGGGCTCTGTGCTGACAGCTAGCTCAGAGCCTGGAGCCTGCTTCCGATTCTGTGTCTTCTTCTCTCTCTGACCCTCCCCTGTTCACACTGTTTCTCTCTCTCTCTCTCTCTCTCTCTCTCTCTTTCCCTGTCTCAGAAATAAATAAAAAAATATTTAAAAATAAAATAAGGAGAACTAATCTGTAGTGATACAATTCAGGAAATGGTTACCTCTGGAGGGGTTGCTTGTAACTAGGAAGGTGCATGAAGGGGCACCTGGGCTGTTAGTGGGTGTAATTGCTTTGTAATAATTTATTGAGCTGAACACTGATGTGGTAAAAAGATATTGATTTCATTATTTTTAATGGCTCCAGAGTCTTCCATTAGATGGATGTTTACTAATTTATTTAACTATTTCCTTTTAATTGGATATTTTCATTGAACTTAGGGTTTCTTTGTTTTTTTGGGGGGGTGGCTTTAAAATTCCTATTATAACACTGCAATGGACAACCTTGTATACATTTCTTTTTCCATTTATTTGAATATGCCTGTAAGATACATTCCTAGTAAAGGAACTGATGCTTTAAAAGAAATACGTTGTAAAGGTTGATGAGCATTGGGCATATAATGCTGTAAAAAAGCTGTATCAATTTGCATTTTCACTCACAGGACATGATTGCTTGATTTCCATAACCTGGATATTCACTGGGTAGTATTGGTCTTTTATACTGCTGCCTCTCCGGTAGGTGAAAACATTTTCTTACTGCTGTATTCATTTGTATATTTAAATTTTTGGTGATATTGAAAGCCTTTTCATGTTATTAGCCATTTGTTTATAATTTTTCATGAGATGCCTATTTATGTTTTTCTCCTTTTGTTCTCCCTCTAGGGAGTGATTTACTTCTAATAATATATATTAAGAATAGGAACCTGTTACCAAATGGTACAAAGTATTTCTCCTGGTTTGTCCTTTGAGATTTGTCTTTATTTATGGTGATTTTTGGTTTTGGAAGGAGTTTACATTTCTGTGTGTTCTGTTTTGTGTTTTTAATGTTTTCTAGTTTCTTGTCAGACTTGAAGTTCAGTAGGTGGGTTTTTCAGAATTTGTCGAGGTTTTCAGAATTTGTTGTGTGTTGACCATTTTGTATCAGTTGTTCCTGGAACACAGTATACCCTTTGCATGTTCTAGGGAAGGAGATCAAGGTAATATCAGACAAGTCCCGCCCACGCATCCTGGGCTGGCTTCCCAGACACTGGTCTGGGGCAAATAAGACAAGCAGTCTAGTTAGTGTAGCTCCTCAAAGCCTTTATGAATGCCTCTTTGATACT